TACAACACTACAACACTACAACATTGATATTCTCTCATATTGGTGCACATTTGTAATTAAATTCTATACATTCAAAAGAAAAAKACATTATTTCCACTTCAATTATAATATTAACGGTTTTCCAACTATTGAAACACAATCAATATAGGATCTAGAAGTCATTTTAATAGGAAAATATATTTTAAAGAACACGTAATTTATATCACAAAAAAAMGCTAAACAAATGTTAGGATTAGTAAAAAGACACTCAAAAGAGTTAAATTCTACAATAATCAAGATCTTATATACTTCTTTAATACGTTCATATCTAGAATAGTATGGAACCCCCTGTKTAGTATAGATTCTCAAACTTTGAAAAAGTACAAGATCAATTTAGTAGGCAAATGAAGATTGTTTAATCTGAAACAGATTCTAATCACACTCAAAATACTACCTTGATACCGTTAAAAATTAGAAGAACCTTTAACAACCTTGTATTCTTTTATAAGTTTACATGGTTTAATAGACGCACCTAATATCTTAGAACAGTTTAATTTCTGTGAACCAACAAGAACTACAAGACTTCAACAACTTTTACATGTCCCTACATTAAAAAGTAATAGAATGCAAAATTCTATCATTAATCGAATCTCAAGCAAAGTAAATAACATTTAAACAGAAATTGATGTATTCCATCTCACTTTAAATCAACACAAAAATTAAGTACATGCATTTCTATTATAAAAAATATACTCTCACCTATACCTACACAATTATCAACACTGTATATTTTCATATTAATATTATTTTTTTTATTTAATAATTAGTGTATCATATTATAATTTTTTTATATATCAACGGGTATATAAATGTATTATTACCAATAATTATGATCATATATATCCTGTATTATTATATTACCAAATAAGGTTACTTATTATTGTCATACTGTACATGAGCTATACAGTATAAGTTATATAAGAAAAGTGACAATGATGTAATCTCACATTCAATCTTTGTTAGTGTTGTGATGACCACCTGTTACCACAGTAGGTACATATTTTTAAAGAACAAAGATTAACCAAAATAAAAATTAACTAGTTGATGGTTGATCTGTAAGAACCATCAGCTAAAAGAAAAAAATATTGAGAAGTAGTTACACAAATAAAGAATATTTCACATTAGCTCAATAGTAGTGATTAGGACTGCGCAGGTATTTTATGTCATCAATTGTTTTCAAACTATATAAATAGTTGATATAATTGAAATTCGATTAATCGTTTTTTTTCTCATAAATAATCGAATAATTGAAAATTAATTTTAACTGAGATTTATTTATAAATATTTTACGAATATACCTTTTAACATAAAAATATAAAATTTTCTCATCACCAATCTCACAAATCATTGGTTATTGAAATTATATTTATAATATAAATAATATGATGAGCAAGTGTTGTGTTCATTTTTAAAATCAGATTGAATTATTATTGATAAACCGTCATATATATAAATATATTGTTATTTTTCTCACAAATGTTGTATTGAATGGACAAACATTTTTTTTTTTTCAACCGAACACAAAACAAAATTTAAATATATAACGTTGAAGATGTCTAAAAGACAGAAAAAACTGGGTTTTTGTTTAGGATATGACCTAAAAATGCTGTAACACAGATAAAAGTTTTTCCCAATTGGTTGTGGAATTTTGATATTTCCTCTATAAAWGCAGAGGGAGTATAGTTGTACATTTGTAAAATTCTATTAKAAATAGAGAATAYAATTTTAAGATGTTAACTATAAATTGAGTAAATAAATGTTAGTTAATTTAACAGTTTTTTACTAACTGAAATATAATTTATATATTTCATTACCTGAGTTACTGTTTTTGTCACAGTTTGGTTTGATCTTTCATTTTCTTTTCTTTTCATATGAGAACGCATATGGAAACTGAAATATAAATACAAATAAAATAAATAAAAGACTTGTACTGTAAAAATATTATTCATGAACATACCGAACATGACCAAGGTCTTTAGATTGGAATGAACAAAAACCACATTTGTATATTTTTATTTTTGAAGAGTCTTGTCTTGTTCGCGGCGATGAAGCAGATGAAGCATTACTTCCACTAGCACTAGTGGAAGGTTCTCCTCTAACTGTCAAACCACTAGGAACTCTTCTCTGACCTATCKCTAAGTCATCAGTTCTTAAGTTCCCATTGACAACCTAGATAAGACAAAAGAAAAATAATCGATAGTTCAATATTTTAYATAAATATAATCATAATAAATGCATACTTCAATTGACTTAACAGGCTGACCAGCAGGCAATAATCCATATTTTTTTTGCACATAAGATAACATTGCATTTTTAACAAGTTTCAAATCATTTTCTAACTTGTCAATATGAATTAGAAGTGATGTGCATCTCTTGCACATAAGATCAGCCGGTGTAACAATTATAACAAATTCCTCTCCCATRAGTTCACAAATCTTGTCTGCGTATGGAACATTACTGTGTGGTGTAATGCTTGAAGATACGCGTGTACGTTCCCCRTACAATTTTGCATCACAAACAAAACAAACTGCCATCGTATCTGAAAAAAAGAAAACTGCTCTCGATGAAAGTTAAGAATATAATTTTGGYGCCAATTACTATAAATCTTTTGCCTAGTATATAATGTGAAATATGCTATCAAGTTAGCAATCACGCCAATTGAAAATATGGTTATTTATTTCACATTATTTTTGTTGATACAAGATTAATAATATCTACATTAATACTAGGTAAAAAATAACATAGTTTTAACAATTTTGGAACCCAATATATTATGTTAGTTAACATCAAACACTGTGTCAACAAATTAAATGGTACATAAATATATATAATTTAGTGTAACTTCTTTATACAGGGATTTAATCATTGTGATAATAAATATATCATAAATCTTCTTTTTTTTTTATTAGACTTACATACTAGGCAAAGGTTAAATTAGATTACATGTATTTTATTTTTTAATTTAATCAAATTTTGTGGTAAAAGTTTTTGTTGAAAAAAAAKAAAAATACCAATTTTATAATTTATTTTTCTAAAAACTTTTCAACATTTTATTTTCATTAATCTCACGATTATTATTCTTTTTAGTTTAAAGATAAAAAAGGCAAAAAACTAGTTTTTGTCAGGGTGGCGAGTAGCTTATGGCTAATGGGTATATCCTCATGGGACACCATGTATTCTATACTTGGTTTAGATATTTTAGTATCAGAAAAATAATTGTCATTCTTATTATACATAAACGATGCATTCTTGATATAATAATGAACATATATTTCAACCAAATACAATACACTAAGTACTTTAGTTTTTTTCACATCAAAAAAGACTTAATCACTCAGTGTTACATACATTTGGACGGTAAATAAGAATAACATGCTTTATCAAATTTTTTCTAATCATGAGTAACCCAAAACAAAGAACAGCCTTGCTGTCATCTAGTTGCATTTGAARTGAAAAATACTAAAATAATATTCTATTATAAAATTTTTATATTGATATTTAATTGGAGGAAGGAKATTAGGTTAAGTCAAGACAYGGAACAGGTTTAATTTGACTAAGAACATGGACATCGTCCTAATGGCTAAGCATTCAATAAGTTAATACCAGTCTATAATTAATTTGTTAACCTAGTTTTACAGAAAACAAACATATAGGGTTGCCAAACATTGCTTTATATTATGAACTGTCAATATAATATCAATTAACTCATTGGCTAATAACATCATGCGCAATGAAAACTTGTTGCGTAAATATTTAGCAACACAACTAAGAAATGGAATGGAGAAAATTAATTTAAGTTTGCACTGGGAACTTAACATTAAATTATTATTATGCCAAATTACATCATATACAATAATAATTATGTTAACACATATAATCTACAAATAGTATATCTATAATAATAAGTATAATTTATCATATAAAATAACATACTTAACTAATTAAATAATGTCACTAATTTTATTTGGTTAACTACAATTTTAATTGAAATTTACAAAATGACAACGACACGGGTGCACAAGGTGGTAGAACAGGGTTAAGAAGTACTGATCAATTGAAATTGGGACAAAACATGTTCTATCCAAGCAGCGATGAAGTGTGAAAAAACCAAGCGGACTAAAACCACAGACACTCTGAAGTGATTGATTAATATAATATTAGTCATGGAAAAGTCAACAAAATACAAAGTTCACGAGATTCAGTCACGACAACATGCAACAGGTAAAGCTAACGACCATTGTCTGTTAGCTTTAACAGTTCATTAACTGTTCAATAGTTATCGATAAGTAAGAGATATCTCAAATAAATTTTCTCAAACCCAGTGCACCCATTGCATAAGAATGTAAGACGATGAATAGAAGTCTACATACATGCTGGCATCCTGAAATTTGTTACTTTTGAATTTTTGAAAAATAAAAAAGTGGACATTCGACGAGTTGAAAAAATGAAAATTACTCAGAAAATATGATTAGTAATGTTCAAATGTGTAATCTTTGTCATCTAGTTTTCCATGCATAACTTAAGATTTAACGCTCCATCACTAGTTGGAATRCATCTACTTACGATCAACTTCGTAATATGAAAAAAAAATCGTGTTTTATGAATTAGGTACAGAAAAAGATTAAAATATGCATCAAAACTTGGGCGTGGGAAGAAGATTRAATGCAGTTCACGTACAAGTCGAATCGAAACACGAAAACGTATGTGGGACAGCAATGGTCATAAACAACAAAGAAAACACAAGTACAAAAAAAACACGTTGGGCAGTGGGTTTTGACGTGTTAAGTTCTTAACACCGTCTGTCGGATTAAACAATAAATGTAAATATATAGTGACGTTATATTGAATAATGGATTGAAATAAACGRAAATATTATTATTACTTACCTCAGTAAAAGTGACCATCCGCAAATCGAAAACAAAAAGTATACAGCGGGACGCGACGACGCCGCTGATCCCTTGGCAAATGACGCCGTTTGCAGCGTCGGTCGCCG